CTAGCATGCCCTTGCCAGAGTGCCCTAATTCTAGGCTCCCACTTTTTAACTCCCCCATTTGAACTGTTAATTGAGATAATGCCAGCGAAAGCCTTTCAAAGTTTAAGTAGCTACACATATGTTAATTACCCTTCTGAAGGCATTTGTGTGCTTAACTATTCTTATCTTGTTTGTAAGGATCTCCTTTCCTAGCTATTGTGGATTGCAGACTGCTTAGGACAGAGACCAGCAGCATTACAACGGGCCTCTCCTCCTCCCTCTTCCCTCCCAGGCGGCTCACCACCCCCAGAGCTGACAACCAGCTTGTCTTGGGCCTGCTCCCCAACTGCCAGGACCCAGGGCTGAAAAGAGTTCTTTTAAGTGTGGCTACATCCTCAGTCTTCTATCTCAGCTCTTCCCCTCCCTGGGTCCTTAACCACTCAGTTTGTCTTTGCCCAAAGAATGGATAGATATTAATTCAGATATTAGGGGAACCCCCCCAACACACACACACACACACACACACACACACACACACACAAAACAAAACAAAAAAACAAAAGAAATAGAAAAGCTCCCAGACCACCACCAACAAAACTACTTGGTGTTTTAACAGGGAAATCAATTTTTAAAAGGAACTCCACTTTTATGAAAAAAAGGGATAAGCAGAACCCTCCAGAGCCAGGTATCAGATTTCCTTGCTGGAGATGGGGACTGGGGATGGTGAGCTCATTGCATCAGGGGCTTCAGCGAGCACCCTGTGGCTCAGAAGTGGGAGAGGGTCTAAGATTTCCTTTTGTCTATGGGCTGGTGTTTAAGGCTTTCTAAATGATGTGCCTGTGGACCCCTGTTACTTCAGGGCTCAGTAGCCTCCTGTTTGGGATTGCTTGAGCTTTCTTATATGCCTACTGCTCACCTCACGTCTTCATATGCCATTTAAACAGTACTGACGCTGACAAATGTAACAGAGGGGAAGAAGTCCATACCCATAGCGGTTGAAAACTCAAAATTCCTCTTGTTCCGCCCCCAAACACCAACACCGTCTCAAGACCCAAATCAATTTCTCATGATTAACAATGCTGATTTCATTTAGTCAATAGCGATATTATTCAAGTCTTTCAAAGTTGCGATTTTGTACCATGCGTTTTTGTGCACACACAAAGGTGTTCTAAACACATAGCAAGAGCCAGGGAGCCCAAGAGGTGTTTAACAAACACTTGTTGACTGATTGATGGAATATACTGATGGGGGCCGCCTTAGACAATGCATTCTTTGTCAAAACACTAAGGTGCATTGTTGAGTCCGATTTTATTACTGAGCATTTTTTGCCATATTGAGAGGGAGGGACGCTGCTAGAAAACTTATCCACCAGCCTCAGAGCTCATGTCAACAAAGAACCCCTGGGGCCTTACCTTTCAACCTGTTTTCCTGCTCAGCAACTCGAGGTAGGGACTAGTCTCTGTAAACAATGCTGTGCAGTTGGAGGCCACTATGTATCACTTTGACTCCTGATTAAGACTATACCACGGCTGCAATGAACAATTTGTGCACATTTTCAAGAAGAAAACAAAAACTGAGTTGAGTAAAAAACTAGAGAAAGAAAGAAAACAAATTATGTGTAAATGGTTGCAAGCCTGGCTAAGTCTTCCTGCTTCATTCTTCCAGGAGGCCCTTCCCGAAGCATGAAATACCAAGTTCCTTGCACTAAACAGAAGTGCACATCCACGTCTGTCCAACTCGTAGAACATTCTAGAAAGGATGCCTGGGCTCATGACCCTTCTCTTCTCTTTGCAGCCTCTTCCCTTCTCTTTCTGCTGGGGCTTCTGGCTGGCCCTGAGGCAGGTTTTGTGAAAAGGGAAAAAAGTCCTCTCCCGTTTTCCTGCCATGCCCTTGGGGAGCCGTGCTCACCTGGCCTGACTTGACTGACAGTTTTCTTCAGGGGACTCATGCCTCTCTACCTTCCCATAATACCCCTCTCTTCCACTGCCCACTCGCTTCCTCTTCCTCGCTGCCAGATTTCTCTGGCTGATATGACATTGGTAAACGTTCCTGACCCAGCCAGTTCTGATGTGCAGCTATACCTGGAGATGTTAAAGGGCCCCAAACTATGTTTTCAGCAACCAGCAGGACTTACAGTTAAATTAGAATCCTTTGCCCCTTGCAATGTCCCCCATCTATTCCAGTATTAATGCTGTTTTGCTATTTTGGAAAATGTAAACAAATCTTTATGTCTGTCTTCCCATCTTTTCCTCGTTATTCATAGCGTAGGAAGAAAGGAAGGGGGGGGGCATTCAATCTTGAATGTTGAAAAATCCTTTCCTCCCTATTCTTGCTTGGAATCTTGAGTACCTGATCTTAAATTTCTATGGCGCTCCCCAAGCGCGGGACTGGCTGGTGGCCATGTGATATTGATTTGTTTTCACCATAGCAACAGCAAATTAAAACAACGAGCAGAAAGAAGGCAGGCTGTTAGGCAGTGAAACTACAGGACCAGTATATTTCACAAGCGTATTTTTCTCTGTTTTCTTTTTTATTCACTCCAGTTTCACAAATTTAATACAAAAGTCAGAGTAAAAATAGCACAAGATGCTTGGGGCACTCTGGGGCCTATCATTGGAATAGTCTGGCGTGCTCGGTTTCCAGTATGCTAGACTAGATCAATGGAGAAAATGTAAACAACCATGCTCTGATTTCCTTGGAAATTTTATTTGTGGGTCTCAGGATAAATATCGATAGAGATTTTACAGGAGTACAGTGAAGGGCTGTATATATGACTGTGTAGGTTAATACCCCAAGGCGTTGCCAACAGTTCCTTAACACCAAGGTCTTGTCCTTTGGAACTTGAAATAGCTCATTGTGCCAAGAGACAGACAACTTTCTTTTTTGATACAAGGTCAAGGTCTCCTAAAGTGCTAGCATCAGGAAAGTACAGTAAGAATTATCCAGTTCTATTACCAGATGGAAATATTGAGGGAGGCACTTGCTTCAGGCGACATGAGTAGTGAGGAGGACACAAACTATCAGAGGGAACTCCGGCCAACTCCAGTGTGTTCCAGGCAAAATTATCTCTCTCCAGGCTTCTTAGTAAACACTACCTCCCCACCCCCCATCTCCACGACCAGGGTGCCACCTGTGACATGGTGGGGTTAACAGTCCGCAGTATTGTTCTTTCCTTCCTTCCTTTGGGCCATCTGCCCTAGGACATGGCACTTTATCTATAAAAAGCAGCTGTTCCCAACATCCCAACCAGCCTTGAACTTGGGGGTATAACCTGTATCCTAGATAATCGCTATAGGGGAACTGGCACTCCCCCTCTCCCCACAGGGGGGGGACCGTCCACACAGGTGGCAGCACTGGCCTGCACCAAGGGGAAGTTAGGCCAGAAAAAAAGCTGAGCTGTGCTCCCCACCGCTTTCCACCAGCCAAGCCAGAACCCTGCAGAAAACCTGTGCTGACCGGCAGGTAGGAGAAGATGCCCTAGTTACCAGGGGGAGGGCTTAGGGTGCACAAAGGACAGGCTGAAACGCCAAGCCCTAACTCAGGTCCTGCCAACGGGGAGTTAGAATGTTCCTGGCCAGGACGTAGAGAAATATTCCTCTCCACGAGCTCGAAGAAAAGAACACACAGCAGAAATAGTTGGGGGATGACGTCAGAAGTTCTGGGCTAGTGTCCTGCACTTCTCCTTGAAAGTAAAAACAGTGGGTCTAGAAGAATCTACGTGGCATTGCCGTTATTTAAATGAGCACTGCCGCCCCTTCAAAAGAAGCAGGAGATCTAAAGAAACTTCCTCTTACGTAAAGATTATACCATGTCCCCCAGCCTTATATATTTTTTTAACTTATTGTCCCCCAAATGCACACAGTCCCCAATTAACAAACATCTTTCCACTTAACCTTTGTCTTTTAAAGAGACAGTAACGTTTCTTGAATAAGATTCATGGTGCTTAGGCAAGTCAGATTTTTTTTTTCTTCTTCTTCTTCGCTCCAGTGCTTGCTAACTATTCTAAAAATGTTACACATTTATTGTAAACACATGCTTCCGAGGCCTAACAAAAAAGCACAGTTTCCTCATGCCTGGCAGAAATTTAAAACGGAAAAGGGCAGAAAGAATTCTTTAACAAACATATCCTTTCCTTCTCCTGGGCCAAGTGTGTTAAAAATAAATCTTCTCCATCATTTCTCACTGCTGCTTCTCAGTAAGAAAGTTGATATGGTTCGGCACAGTGAAAACACGGCTTTAAAAGCTAGCCTGCTCTCATTAAATTATTCTGCTGGCTGTGTGTTCTCATTAAAAATGCATACAGATCAGATAATTGCAGTAAGCATTATTAACCCAGCTTTACTTTTGAATATAATGGTTCCACTTTTAAGCTGGAAACAAAGGCTCAGACACGCCAGGAAAAGAAATGTAAACACTGAACTACAGTATCGAAAACTTGCCAGAAAGCTACCTCTTGCTAGGTTGTTAGAAATGTGCCTTTGAAACTCGATTAAAGCTCAACATTGTAGAGCGAGGGAGGTCCCTCATTTCCAATAAATAGGCATATTTTTGGCCCAAACATTCCATCGATGATTATTTACCATGAAGTTTTTTTTTTTTTTTTTCCTCCCTTCATTCTTGATTGCAAGTCTGTTTTCAAATAAGATCAATGTGAACTTTATCTATTCTGGAGCTATAGTAATAGTAGCAAAGAAATTTTTTTTTTATAACAAGAATATAAGATTGCTTCTAAGATTTCAAATGGTTTCTAAAATACTCATAAATGGATCTATTCTTTGAATAAAAACTCGGTTTAATGCCTCACTCCTAACCGGCGGCATCGATTCAAGCTTTGCCATTTCTTTTTCTCAAATCAAAATGTTACGTAAAACTCCAGGGTTCCCTGCAAGTATCACATTTGAATTAGTGGAATCTGGTCTCCCAGGCTTCCCGAAGCAACACACATGGAATGCAGCATACTGCAGCAAACTCTTCAAACATTCAAAAAAAAAAAAATGGGGGGGGGGGGGGTGTTCTCCTACCTTGTTTAGCTCTGCTTGTCCTTCCCATGTACAGTAACCCCAGGAACATCTGGCAGGATCAAGTGGCCGAGGCTTCTCCACTGCATCATGAGGAAGAAATTTCCATGCAAATGGTTCTCATTCCGTGTTTATTGTACTCTGAAAGCCGTCTGCCGTATCTGGAAAATTTTACCTTTAGATGATGAAGCAAAGACAGTCTAAACTCTGTTGCTGTAAGCTGCGGCCCTTCCTTCCGACAAACCCCGCCCCGCCGCGGCCGGCCAATCGGCGGCCAGATCGTCAGCCCTCCTCGTCTGAAGCTGGCCCTAATAGGATGACTGACACAGCAACACAGCACTTGCAGCGTCTGAAAACAGTGCATCCATACTGATGAAAGAGGAATTTCCCTCTCCGAAGAAAGCAATCATAGCACCAAGACAAAGTGGCACATAATTGGCAGAGCAGGGAGAGGGGTAGCTCAGGAAAACACGCTTGAAGACAGCCAGCCCGAAGCTCGGAGCTGCACCGTGATACTTTAGGGAACACGAAACTCCGCAGATTCAAAAGAAATCCGGGTTGTACCTGGAACTGAAGTCGGTACAGCATTTGACAAAGCGTGTGCGTGTGCGTGTGTGTGTGTGTGTGTGTGTGTGTGTGTGTATTTTCTTTTCTTTTCTTTTTCTTTTTTTTTTTTAAGAAAAACAATTCAATGTCTGCATGGAAAGTAATACCTTATGGAACGTTTACATAGGATTTCCATGATTGAGGGAGAATGTGCTAAGCCCAAGCACACATTCAAAAATCAAAACATGCCTGTTCCCTTGCACACAGTTTTCCTGCACAACGTCTGTTTTTGCAGTGGTTAATTACTGTAGCCCATATATCTTTCATCTAAGTTTTCAGACCACTGGGGACTTCAATTAGGGAATGCTGAACAATAAAAATTGATATCTACACATTACACTTTTTTTTTTTTTTGCCAGGTACCCACGAGAGTTAGTTAGGTGTGCCTTAACTGTCTTAGGTGCCAGTTGATAAATACTGTGCATTGGCCCACATTGTCATTAATGAAATGAGGATTACAGGAAGGTGTTTATTGCTGACTACTCATGGTGTGTGATTCAAGGGACACCACCAAATACCTTGCCACAAAAGATGTTCCAGAAGGTGCTGGGGTTCTCTGAGATAAGTAAGAAAAGCAAAACAGAAGGGTTAGTTGGGTTATTTATTTATTTTTTCCAGTCAACAGCATTTCTGCATGCTTTCAAAACAAAAACAAAAACATATGGCATTCAGAAAACACAATAAGCACACATTTCCTTCCACTAAACACAACGTGTTTGAATTTTAAAAATTAAGTATGATGGTTCCATGACTCAACCAAGACAGGAACACAGCCCCTATTCATCTTAAAGGTTGAACCCGACACTATTTATTTTTTTAAACTAAGCAACTGTTTGGTGTATCTGGAATGTAATGGTTTCTTTTTATTTCACCAATTGCATCTTTAAAACACACCTTTTCATATGACTTGTGGGCTATTTTCTTTAATAGAATATCATGCTTTATTCCCCCTCGATTTTTATACTTAGAATTCTCTTTTTCATTCCCATATAAATTTGTCAAATATCATAACTTGTAGGCTTTCTCATACTATTTCTGGAAATTTAATTTAGCTCCATGGTCAAACAGGTAGAAAATTATTTAAAAATATCCACATAGTTAATATTATACTTCATGCACGTAGCTGATCCGAGGCTCAAGATCCCCTCTCCCCATCTCCCTTGCATTCTGACTTTGAAACCTCTTACCCTCTAATCTTAATCCTGAAACTTTAGTCATCTTTGTCCTCCATTCTCACCTCTAAGTCTTGTTCATTTTCTTCCCACCTCGTCCAGAAAGCTGACCTATAACCTGCATGATATGAATGCTAATTAATGGCCTCTGGGAATCCAGCCTCCTCAACCCTGAGCTGAGCTCCCGTGTTGCCAGACAGGTTTTCCTATGTCATGTAAAGTCATGTTCCTTTCAAATGCAAACCTTTCCAGGTATTAAATCCAAATTATAGACTTTGAAGGTCCTTTATAATTGGGCCCTTCCCTTTTTTAGCCAATTTTTTCTCTTGTTTTCCTAAAGGAACTTTCTAGTGGAAAATTCTCTTCTTTCTTCCATCACGTCTTCCCTGTCCACAGTAGCTTCTCTGAGGTTCTCCTTTGGAAGACTGTTTAAAACCCTGAACCACATGGTCTGGTATAGGTAGTTTGTCTGGGTTGATCTTCCCTTCTCAGAGGGCAAGTCTTGTGTAATATGTTAAGATAACATGCATCAAACATCTGTACAGTAGCTGGTACCCGATAAACGATCACCAAACGAAACCTTTCCTTAGGTATTTCTCTACTGTTCACTGCATTTAGGAAGGTGCCCTGCACAAACTTGCTGGTTTCATGATTCCTATCTCAAGAATTGACATGATACTCAATTGCACACACACCAAAACCCTGCCAGTCTTTCTGGGTCCTCCTCCCCAACCACCACTTGAAATTCATTATCAAAGTCTGTCAAGTTCAACCCCTGAATGTTTGGAAATGCCTCCCCTTGCTCTACCAGTACAGTTTTGTCCAAGCAATCATTGCCATTTTCGGTGACTATTGGAACAGTCTCTTAGCTGGTCTCCTGAGCATATTCTTGACCTGCTGCAAGCCCTTTTGCACACTTTAGCCAGAATGGAAATTCAAAAATAAACATCTTATTTTTTTTCCACACTCCTTTACTTAAACTTTATGATGGGCTGAATTGTGCTTCCCCCAATACCCCCCACCTCCAGTAGAGTTTGGATGTTCAGGTCATAACCCTGAGAAGATGGTATTTGGAGAGAGGGACTTTGGAGGTAATTAGGTTTCCATGAGGTCATGAGAGTAGGGCCTTTGTGACGGGATTAGTGTCTGTGTATGAAGAGACACTGAGGGCGGTCTCTTTCCATCAGAAGGACACAGTGAGAAGGTGGCCCTCACCAGGATGGGGATACAGTCCTCACCAGAACCTGACCATTCTGACCCCACCCCAGTCTCAGATCTCCAGTCTCCAGAACTGTCAGAAAACAATTTTATGTTGTGTAAACCAACTAATGTATGGTGCAGAACATCCTTGGAATATCTTTGAGTAGCTCTTAAGGGAAAGATGACAGTTCTCCACATGGCCCACAAGGCCCTGTTCCTTCTAGTCTCTGCCTACCTCTCCAGCCTGATCAGAAGCCATTTTTCCCAGGGAACCCTTCCTGACCCACAAGATGAACTCAGGTCCACCTTGTTCTCTTGCAGTCCGCCCCCCATATTGAAGTCTACAGCAGTGCTTCTCAAATTTTAATGTGCATGAACCCACGCCCCCACCCCCAGGGATCTTGTTAAAATGCAGATCTAATCTCAGTAGTTCCTGGGTGGAGGCTGAGATTCTGCTTTTCTAACAAGCTCCCAGGTGATACGGATGCTGCTTGTCCATGGAGTACTCTTCAAATAGCAAGATCTGATAGATGCTGTTCACTTCAGAGCACTTGTTACAGGGTATGGTTACACATTAGTTTGGTTAATTATTTACTTACGGACTACCTTTCCAACCAGCTTGCCAGCATCAGAAGTCGCCCTTGTCTTCCAGCATTAATCTTCATGACCTGGCACATGGGAGATGGGAGGGGACAGTCTTTAACCAATGCATGTGAAATGAACAGCGGACGGACGCAGTGTACCTCGGGGCCAAAATGGACTTCTGTCTTTCTTTCTTCTTCTCCCCATCTTTCTCATCCTCTTCCTTTTCCTTCTTTCTTTCTTTTCGTAACTCACTGTAAGTTTCTTGAAACTCTGGAAAGAAGCTCAGTCTTTATTGAAGTTATAATATGCTACATAGGAAGAATTGTTGAGAAACAAACATAGAACGAATGTTGAGGAGATGATCAACTGTGTCTAAAGCCGAGGAGGGAGCCCGAGAAACAAAAAGACAACAACATTGGATTGGTCTAGTGACAGTCATCATTTATATTCTACAGGCTGACGGATTTCAGATCTTTCTCTTCACCTCTGGTCCCAATTCTTCACTTGAAGGTATCAGAGGTAACCCATCTTCACCTGGTCTCTAACTGAAATAACTTTTTTCTTATACTGAAATGTGTTTCTCTTATATTTCCCATTCCAGAGAATGGAAACCACCATCATTGATGCCTAGCTCTGTCCCACGGTCTGTATCCAAATCCTCTGGAGTCTTCCTGTCAATCTTTTGAATCCATTCACCTTTCTTTGTCTTCACTTCTGTGTCCCTAATTCAAGCCCCCATTGGTTTTGCTCACTGCTTACCTCTCTGACCTCAGTCCAGCCCCTCAACTTCCACTCCACTCACCGTCCAGCACAGCGCGTCCCCATGATCTCCAAGGGGAATCCTCTGCCTAAGTTCCTTCTTGAGCTCCCTCCCTCCTACTGCGCGTGCAGGATGACTCAGCCAATTTTAGTCTCTGCAATGTGTCATGTCCTTACCAAGTTTGAGCCTGGATTCTCTTTTCCTGAAACATCTTCTTTTCCCTTGACACCCCTCTTGCCTCTTTCCACCCAATAATAGCCCATGTACCCACAGGGCCTCCTTCAGAGAGGCTTCCTTGACCACCACAACCCTTGATATTTGATTCACCAAAGCAGCCATCACAGAATATTATAAATGCGTCTTACTTGATGAGGTACCCCAATAGTCCCTGGGAGAAAACTGACCGCTCTTAGTCCTTATTGCATGCAGTTATGGAATAGCAGGCAACAGTTCCTTAACATGTTTCTTGGACAATTAGCTAGATAATGGCACCAGTGATAAAGGGCCAAAGACTGTCACAGGGCTCAAGCAAAAGATTGATAGTGAAGCTGTAGAAACGATGATGATGATGTGTATGTGTGTGTGTATGAGAGAGAGAGAGAGAGAGAGAAAGAGAGAGAGATAAGTTGGGCAAAGAAGGGAAGGGAGAGGTAACCTAAAAGCTGAGAGCGAGGTACAGTTTTGAGATCTTCTCCGCAGTGGGCATACAAAGGTCAGCAAGCTTCCAGGCGAGGGAATCTTTGATGATGTTTAAATGGTGGGGCTTTCCAGAGAAACAAAGTCTCCCTTTGAGTGGAAAAGGAGAGGGATCTCAGAACAGATGGGAGTGTTTGACTTAGCAGAGGAGATGTCTAGGAAGGAGAAGGTTGTTTATAGCAAGGGAGACACGAGACGGGCAGGCAAGATGCAGATGGCCCGATCTG